TATAACTGTGTATATTTTTAAACAATAGTTATATTAATAAATGTATAATGTAATATTATTCATTAAATTAAATTTCTCTAAATTTATAAAATGAGGATATTTTTTACACATGACTATGTGACCGCTTCTCTGCAAGAAATTGACAATAACGTTACTTGTTCGAGTGGTATACACCCTCGGCTACAACACAGCAGCGCCCGGGTTCGTCCCGCTATCGATGTGGATCGATTTTTTAATTTGTTTGTTTTTATAAAACACTTAAGGGTTTTAATATAAAACGTTTATGCGTTTATGATAAATTAAACACCATTTTTAGTGTTTAAAAAGTGATTACAAGTATTTAAACATTTAAAGTGTTTCGAAATAAAACACTTGGATTTGCAGTGTAATTTTATTTTTTTTGTGTTCTTTCAATTTGATTTTAAAACTTCTTGTACAGGATGCTGTCCTTTTTTCCGGGAGATGACAAAAACGCCTTTTCGGAAGATATAGAAAATTCGATAGAATGGGCCCGAAATCAGTCACGGCCACGTTTTATTAAAACTCACCTTGGTATGGATTTTCTTCCGAGTCAAATACACACCGTAAAACCAAAGGTAATTACAATTTACAATTAAGGTATTCGTTAGAAATTTACAATTTCACAATTATGGACTCACTCATATTACTAAACATTTCTTTGAAAAAATATTTTAGTAACTCTCCAACTAAAATTTTAATAGAACTTTTTTAGGTCCAAAATGGGCGCTATTCAAATGTTAATATTAGAATACCTTTATTGAGTCTCCGGCCTAAAATAGTAAAACACATTTTTTTTGCAAAATTCGTTTTTTTTATTCAACATAATTCCCTTCAAGGGTGATACACTGATTATAGCGATCCTCCAACTTTTCGATACCATTTTTGTAGTACGATTTGTCCTTTGCTTCAAAATAGGCCTCAGTTTCGGCGATCACCTCTTCATTCGACGAAAATTTTTTCCCAACGAGCATTCTTTTGAGATCTGAGAACAGGAAGTAGTCGCTGGGGGCCAGATCTGGAGAATACGGTGGATGCGGAAGCAATTCGAAGCCCAATTCATGAATTTTTGCCATCGTTTTCACTGACTTGTGAGACGGTGCATTGTCTTGGTGAAGCAGGACTTTCTTTTTCTGCAAATGCGGTCGTTTCTCGGCGATTTCGTCCTTCAAACGGTCCAATAACGCTATGTAATAGTCGCTGTTGATGGTCCTTCCTTTTTCAAGGTAGTCAATGAAAATTATTCCACGCGCATCCCAAAATACAGACGCCATAACCTTGCCAGCCGACTGTTGCGTTTTTGCACGCTTTGGAGCGGGTTCATCGTGTGCAGTCCACTCCGATGACTGTCGATTGGACTTCGGAGTGAAATGATGGAGCCATGTTTCATCCATTGTCACATATCGACGCAAAAACTCGGGTTTATTACGCGTGATCATCTTCAAACACTGCTCTGAATCATCAACTCGTCGTTGTTTTTGGTCAAAAGTGAGCTCGCGCGGCACCCACTTTGCACAGAGCTTTCTCATACCCAAATATTCGTGAATGATGTGATGTATACGTTCCGTTGATATCTGTAGAGTGTCTGCTATTTCATTCAATTTCAATTTACGGTCATTCAAAATCATTTTGTGGATTTTTTTAATGTTTTCGTCCGTAACAGCCTCTTTTGGGCGTCCACTGCGTTCACCGTCTTCGGTGCTCATTTCACCACGTCTAAACTTAGCATACCAATCCTTGATGGTTGATTTTCCTGGGGCAGTGTCCGGAAATTCGTTATCAAGCCAAGTTTTTGCTTCAACTGTATTTTTTCCCTTCAAAAAGCAATATTTTATCAACACGCGAAATTCCTTTTTATCCATTTTTTTCACAATAACAAAAGTTGCTTCACTAAAAATGCTATAATTCACAAACTAATGATCCGACAGCCGTCAAATTTATAGACGCGTCTTTTGAAGGTTAGGACTAACTGAAAATAATATGGATTTAGTTCTGGTGCCGCCATCTATGCGTCAGGCCGGGGACTTTTCAATTGACCCTAGTACGTTTGCTTGTGGCTATCAACATTTGGTAGATGGTAATTTCTTTTAAATTTCAGATTGATGATAAAAATTTCTTCTTAAAACCATTTAAACATACTCAGAAATAATTTATTCTTATCTGTAGTCTACAGTGCAGTTTTTTAACACTTTCAAACATTAATTCTTTACATCAGAATAAATATCTTCCATAAAAATAGAGAATTTATTATTTTTTTATTGTTAATGAAACACCAACTTGAACTTCCATGAACTTATATTGTTACCTAATATCCATAAATTATTAAAGTAGCATCTATGACTCGATTAGTAGACCAATTAGCAATCGTTTAAAAATAGCGGTATTAACATAATTAAGGTATTTAGATTCAAAATGAGATTGAAGAATGCTTAGATAAAGGAGTCAGAATTAAGCCAGGGTGGTGAGACGGGTGGCCGTCTTTACTCACATTGACAGTTTGTCTGCCATTTACTACGTTTCCCAATCAATTAATGAGCTAGGTGAATATATTATTAACTCATTCTATTATTTGCCAAACTTTCCTTAAATTATTATTTTAATAATCTACTGCATTAAATATATTAAGTTCAACCGAAATTGCACCCCACATTATTAACCTTTTATACTACACGGTGAAAAAGAAAAACGAAAATTTACCTAAATAATATAAAAAGATATTTACAATTTTACCCCACTAGCCCGTTGCTTCGTAAGCGAAAATAATAAAAATTACAATTTGGACCTGAATTACAAATTTAATTCTAAAAATTAAGAAACCTGAAATAATTTTTAAAGAAACATGTTCAAATTGAGATTATTACAAGTTACCTAATAAATTTCACTATTTCTATGGCAAATTCAGTCATTTACAATCGAAAATTGTGACTTTTGCGTTGTCATAAAAATTTGGTTTTCTCCGTGTAGATATTTAAAATTAAATATATATTCCAAATATNCATAAATACGTGTCAAAAATCATCGAAATACAGTAACTAAATTTATTCTTATTTGTCCTTTGTTCAACAATGAATGAAAAATCGGAGCAATGCAAGGGGAAAACATTTATCATTACCTACTACAAAACCAAACCGACTTTTAGACTTAAATTGTGGATATTTCAAGGTATTAAATTTTTAAATTACACAATATTAATCACCGAATGCTAGAAAGCGAAGATACACTTTCTGACAGGGATGGGTACATTAATTGCAACAGAAAGCAGAAAAAGATAACAATTTTATGTAAGAATGATGAATAATCAAAATTACTAATAAATTTCGTCAAAAAACTTCTGATCCAATTTCATGCTCGGAGAAAATATAAATAATATTTCTTAGCTAAACTTATATCTCTGTGCCAATTTTGAAAACGATTTATGAAAAACTTGTGAAATTATTACCAAAATTTTCAAATTTTTAAACTTTGGTCCAAATATTAACATGCACTTATTATGACCAATAGTTATGGTGAATCGCGTAAGTTTATAGAAATTTACCAAGTTGGTGTTTCATTAATAATCATGAAATAAAATTAAGTAAATATGTAGTTTTAATTGCTTAAATTAATTATTTCATTTGAAATTTACGAATTGGAAAAGGAAATAAAAAACTTAAACGAACCAGGCGTTTGGAAAACAAAGAAGACACACTTTATATATAAATTAATGTATAGGTAGATGCAGCATCCATTTTCCTGTAAGAAATAGAAAAATAAAGGAAACTTAGTTATCAAGTTCTGTCTTCTTTGATGAAAAACAATTTTAAGCAATCATAAATACAGGCGGAGTTGTAGTTTACTAGAAATAGTTGTATATTTAAAAGACAAATGCAAAACACAAAATAATATATTTCTGTTTCAAATGCTCTTAAGGCTCTTTACGTTTTGCTTTGTTGGAACAATTTCTTTATAGCTATCTATTACTTTGCAGATTATATTCTCCATAAGGAACACAAAAGATGTTGCTGTATCATTTTATCATCACATGTGCAATCTTCACCGAATGAATACTTCTTTTCAAAATTACGTGGACACATTCTTGGATGGTACTTTTCCCCCAGGATCCTACTGGGAGTATCTGGCGCACTACTCGAAAATAGTGGAAGATCCAAATGTTTTCATTTTAAGTTTCGAAGAAATGAAAAAGGACTTCAGGGGGGTCGTTAAGAATACCGCAAAGTTTCTCGAAAAGGAAATATCAGAAGAACAAATCGACGAATTAGTCGACTTTTTAAGTTTCGAAAACATGAAGGACAATAAAGCGGTCAATTTGGCACCTGTTTTAGAAAACATTTCGAAAATACGCAATGACCATTCGACGAGCTTTTTAAGAAGGGGTAAAGTTGGTGATTGGGTTAATTACATAAATGCAGAGACGTCAGAACGATTTGACGAACTAAATGAAAAATATTCAAAGTATGAACTTGTGAGAAGGGCAAACAGTTCTCTTTAATGATAGCAAATATAAATAACGATATTTATATATTATTCTAAATGCAATTTAAAACATGTTAATTTTTCTACATGATGGACCTATAGATATTTAAGTATAAAACTGTAAAACTTATGAATAATAGTCAGTCGCAGAATTTGAATACTTAAAACCTAAAAAGATAGTAAAAGTCAGAAATATTATTGCTATGGTTGTATAAGTATGTAATACATTTATAAAAATGTACTATCGAACGATTTAGGAAGTCACCAAGAAAGGCCCCAGACCACTAAAACCTTACGGAAAATGATCCTCTATTAAATTCTTTGAAACCTCGGATTCTTGTAGTTCTCGACTTGCACATTAAATGTCTCAATGGTCGCTTAGTCTTAAAAGCTGAACTTATTGAAATATAGTCCCTTAAAGTTTCTTCGTAAGGACTTCCATCAATAAGTTCATGTATATGTGTATATGTTGATATGTTATACCTATATGTAGGTACTACATATTATGGATGTATCATGATTTTGGACCAGGGTTGGTAATGCACTGGACAAAAGTGTAGTACATCTCAACATCATAGTCTACTTCATCATCGTCATAAGGTCGTCAGTCCTAAGACTGGTTGGACACCCACCTCCACTCTTTCCTATCCTGAGTTAATCTTCCCATTTCCCTAAAACTAGAACAACCCACATCCTTAACTATTTTCGAACAGTAATGTAATCCAGAAAAAACTCCCGTTTCTGCCTCTAATATGTCTCTGACTAGATCTTTATACCTGAGAAGGTGTCATACCAACCTATCTCGCCTATTTTTCATTTCTAACCTTCTCTATCCACATCATACGCCTGTAACACCACATTTCGAACGCTTCTAACCTTTTCTTTTCCACGTCGCTCTTTTTCGAATTTCTAAATTAACCGTTCGCGAGCATAGAAGTGATTTCTTTTTATTGAATGCTATTCGACCCTGCGCTATCCTCTGCTTTATATCCCTACTCCTTCCCTCTTGACTTACCTGACTTCATAGATACCTACAATCAGCCACCTCTTCTAATTTTTCATCTCATATCTTTATATTCGCTTTTCCGTTCTTTTTCGTCCCTTGCATACCAGTATTTTTTTCTACTTGTGGGAAAAAAAGTTGGTGTACTCAGAGGTGTTATCAGACATGTATGCAGTAATTATACTTTTAGTGTTCATGCGTCGTATAAATTATAGATTCTGTGTTAGTATCTGATTATACCTCTGAGTCCACCAACTTTTTCCGTAGTTAAGTACCTACTTTATGACGTTAGATGTTGTATATACTACACCTTTGTAGAGTGCATTACAATACCTCATCCGAAACCATAACACATCTATAGTATGCGATACATATAGGTGTAGTACATCAAAATGTACATACATGTTTGAACATATTCAATACGCATAATAAATGTAATCTGGAAGTCCTTACGGAAGTAACTTCAAAGAACCATATCTCAAAAAGATCAGTTTTTACAACTTAGCGCCCATAAGACTTTTGATCTGTACGTTGAGAATTATCAGATTTCAAAGTTTCAAGGGTTTTGACAGAGGGCCATTTTCTATAAGGATCTAGCGGTGTCCTTTGCAACAGTCTAACATTAAAGCATTAAAAATTGCAAAACTGAGCAAACTAGAGAGCTCATATTCTCAGTAATGTATTTTAATATTATTGTAATTTTAAAATATATCGTAATTATAACAACTGATTTAAAGGTATTAATTACTATTATCGTCGGGTTATTAACAGATTGTAATTATAAGAACCTAGATCAGTATCATGACAAACAAATGTGTGTTCTTAGGATGTAATTCTGTACCTAGAGAAATAAATAAGTGTTAGGTAGGTACTATATTTTATTGTATAAAATACATTCGTAACTTTCTATTGCAAATGCCTTTAATAACATAAATAAATACTTCTTGTTGCCTCCTTAGCTGCCGTATTTTTTATTAGTTGCACAATATTAATTTGGCGTGCAACGTACAACTTTTTTACAAGAATGGTGTAACTAAACTGGATGTCACTAGAATGAACAATCTGAGTTATTCCTGTTTTATCATACATTTCAGAATTGTGATAAAACGTAGTACCTATAATACAAAAAAGTTATTACCGGAATAGTTCCATTCTACTCCAATGTTAGCAACATTTAATCATTTTGAATTAATAATAACTCATCATCATAAGATCGTCAATCCCAAGACTGGTTGGACACTCCACTCTTTTCTATCATGAGCTAATCTGCGCAATTCACTAAAACTAGAACACCTCACATCCTTAACTACTTGTGAACAGTAATCTAATCTAGGTCTACCCCTAGTCCTCTTAACTCCTGTTTTTGCCTCTATTATGTCTCTGAGTAGATCTTCATGCCTGAGAACGTGTCGTACCAATCCATCTCGCCTATTTCTTATTTAATTCTTTGTAATACCTCTTTATTTCTAACCTTCTCTATCCACGGTATCCTCATCATTCGCCTGTAACACCACATTTCGAACGCTTCTAACCTTTTCTTTTCCACCGCATCCACCGTTCATGTTTTGCACCCATATGGTGCCGCACTCCAAACATACACCTGTAACAATCTTTTTCGAATTTCTAAGTTAACCGTTCGCGAGCATAGAAGTGACTTCCATCCTGACTTATTTGACTTTCTACATGGATACCGAAAATCAGCCACTTCTTCTAATCTTTCTTCTCCTATCTTTATATTCGCTCTTTCCCTACTTTTTCTTCCCTTGCATACCAGTATTTTTGTTTTACTTTTATTTATTTATTTTTATACAGTTCTGTTTTGTCAATATCGCTTCCGTTTTATTTAAAGCGTTCTCAAACTCCTCCTTGCTAGATGCTAATACTGCTAGTATACAATAATAATTAATAAGACTAAAATAATGTCTTAATTTATAATAACTATACCTCAATAAAATTTAATCTTTAGTTTTCTAATATAACTGAAGGCTATAATTCGTGTAGTATCTAACAATATCATAGATAGACGATGTACAGTAAAATATTCAGCAAATTCTTACTATTTATAGTTCATTTTTTAAATTTTCTGTATCATCTAAATTCTGACTGGCGCGCACTTACTCCATAACTTTCGTAAGGGTAGTTCACCCTCTTGCGAGAGATACATTATCCAATGATACGAAATCGCTCCGGAAGCCATCGCGAAAAGGGCGTTCAGAATATATATCGATCAACAGTTTTGCGCAGGACATTTGGTTTGTTTTTCGTTATAAGAAGTCCAGAACTTTTTGAAAATTGAAAAAGAAAAAATTTGATGTAGATGCTCTATGTCTGAAATTGTAATACTACATTCAAGCATCTTCAACTTAATAGCGGCTTTTTTTATCAATCATGCTGATTGCGGTGTTAAAATTTCACCAACCTTTTTTTATATATAATCTCACGAATGAAGTAACTGAGATATACGGAACGATGTGGGAAAATATATGAATTCATCATCATGTAGACCTCAGCTGGTTGAACATGCACCTCCACTCCTTATTCTGAATGTAATCTTCACATTTTCCTAAAATTAGGACTTACATTCGTAAATACATTTGCGAAGAGTAAGTTCTCTTCCTCTGCCCCTCTGCTTCTATTTCTATTATAATATATCTCTAATTGATAGTACAGTCTCATAAACCAAAAAGCCTCGGAATGAGAGTTAATAAGCTGACAATTTATATGGACCTTTGTTTTAGCATTCTAAATGGTGTGTCAAAAGTCTCATATAATCTGCTCGCGTCTTGAGATATTCTAGGTCAAAAGTCACAAAAATCAGTTTTTCAGTTCAATAGTATTTGCATCTATTATAAATGTTGTAAAGCATAAAATTCTCTACAATTTTTGTTTAAAACATTGTTTTATACGATTAATAGTTTTTGAGATAGTACGCAGAAAGCCTGCAACTTATTACCTCTCATTCCGGGGTGAAATCCCTGATGTGACTGTGCTATAATAACAGTTCATACTTTAAAAGGGGCATAAGGTATCTTACCTTTTTACCACTTTTCTTTGTTTATTAACTTCCTACATCGTCCTTTGTTCTTCTACTCTTTCTAATACCTTCGCAATTTTAATAGACCGGGAGGTGGTATAAAAGGTGTAGAGTTCTCTGATTTTATATCACACGCCTTTTTTGAGGTTAATCATTTATCCATTGATATGAATGATAAAAAGGTTCTTGATCGATGCACGGTTTGCAATCATGGTGAAAATTTAGAAAAAAATTCTACTTTTCACCGTAGTAACTCAATGGGCTTGAACGGTCAAGTATACTTTTGAAAAACAGAATATATAATACAATAAAGGAAGCTTCAGTCAAGTATAAATCTCTGGTGAAAAAATTGGCTGGGTTATTTTCATTTTCACTTTTCATAGCTGATTTTCCCAATCTTGTGTTTAAGAAAGATTCACGCCATTTTTTTACAAATGTTTTATAACCAAAAGTTCCTTTCTTTTCATTGTTCAGTTACACGTCTCGCAAAAAGAAATAAAAAGCTACGTGCATTCAAATTTTTAATGCAACGATTTGGATATTCAACACCATCCAATCAGTGATAAAGAACAAAAATATGTATTCAATTTAAGTGCAATATTCCCTCCCAGGTAAGAATTCGCATTTACTAATATTTAGGAAAGGATTTTACCATCATCCACGTGGCAATTTCGTTGCGATCGATGTAAAAATCTTTTCCTAATAAATGGTAAATAACTGTACAGCACCGACGTTTCGTCAAGGTTCTTTCAAGATAGATTGCAAGTTACCGATTTTTTATTAATATCTGCTTATAAAGGGTCACTAACATGCAATCTTCTGATTTACAACAAAAAAAAGCCTTGACTACTGTAGTAAAGCGTTTCTTATTCCTATTTCAGTTTTGATTTATATAATAATATATACGTATGTACGAACGAGAATTTTTATAACTATGGAATTTAATATTAATGCAAAACAATATTTTAAACCATATTAT